AGTGGTAGGAATCGACAATAATCTGTAAAGGGTACATCGGGGCAAATGATAGTGTGGTTATGGATTTTATATCCTATGTTGTTAAACTTTTAATTCAGTATCATTTTTATAAATATTTTTTGTGTTGTTTTTTTTAAATTAGTGTGTTAAATAATTATTGTGGCAGAAGTGAAGGAGGGGGCCAAACGATCCTATTAACCACATTATTCATATAGAATTGTGGTTAAAAATTTTTAGGCTACAGGCTTTATATGGCTAGTACACTATTCACTAACTGTAGAGTACTGTATTACTTGTGCGGTGCCGCCATTTTTCCGGATATATAAAATACACAGTACATAAGCTATGATATAACTATAAAGTATGAGACAAGCATATAGTATAAATTGTATAAATGTACTAATTAAATATATTTATAACAAAATATAAATAAATATATTAATACTAAAACTACTCCCCTTAAATAAATATTTTTGTGTTATATTAATTTAATTTGTCGTGCACATTTTTATTGATAAAATTATTGCAACAAAACAGTTTTATGAAACAGCCTTAAACACGTTTTAGGTTGACAAATTATATAATATTAACTAGTTGACAGGTCCCGATCGCATCCACTTCCCCTTAACCCCCAGTTTATGCCCATTTAACGTAACTAATTATAGCATAAACTACACTTAAACGCGTTATATACTGGAATTGATATTGTTAAATTTATAAAATTAATTTTTAAAATAATCATTGTAATACAAAATTGCAATTAATTTGCAGTTTATATCTTTTTAATAACAACTGTCAACAAATAACAATGAGTATTTTAAACTAAATAAGTGTAATAAGTATGAGAATAATATTATTATATAGATCAAGTTAAATTCCGTTTATTTAATTAGTAATCCAGGTGATTTTCTGCGACACTCGTACAAAGAAATTAAGATAAGCCGGTGATATTGTGTTACAGGGTTTGTTAGTACCATAATATACGCCTATTATTATAGCTCTGCCATTTTGCCACTGTATTAATCCGGTCCCACTATCACCCTGTTTAAGCCAGTGGGCACCAGAAGTGTCACATCACTGTCCAAACGCGGCCATCATTCTGGTGGGCACTGACGAACATCTGAGGCCGTTGTCCGGAAACATAGACCTGACCGCACTAGCGGTTACCTACTCTGAGGGAATGGCGGCCGCCCGAGGGATGGGTGCCTACAAATACATGGAGTGTTCGGCAGTAACCGGCGATGGCGTTACAGAAGTGTTTGCTACAGCAGTTGTTGCCATACTTCACCCGAAGTCAACGCCCCGGCAGTCAAAGAGTACGTGCGTCTTGTCATAACCAGCAATGTATAAGTTTTTGTATAATGTTTTTATTTATTTACATACAGTAAGTGTATAACAGTTTGAATAACAATTAGATATATAATTAGATACATTATATCTGTTATAATGCAGTTTGTAATGAGATATTGCTATTTGTTAGTAGCGGTTAATTTGAATATATTATTTAGATAGTATAATAATAGAATATAATATAATGAATCATTATTAATGATTATACAGTATTTAGATGTTGTTTTTAGTGATTACATCTAAATTAATTACATTAATGATGATTTGCATATTTTTGAAATAATATTATTTATAGTCGTCTTTTAATATGGTATTTAAAAATTAATTGAATTGCGTAAAAATATTTAAATAATAAGTCCAATATTTAAACATTGATTAAAATTTATTGTAAAAAATTATTAATAATACAACATAATTGTATAATTGAATAATACTTTTATGGTTAAACTACTTATTAAATCAGTTAACGGTTTACTCAATAAATACAATGCTTTCAACCAATTGTGGAAACTTTGCGATACTGTTATCCCTTTTAATTCTGTCGGCAATTATAGCCAGTCTTTCGTGTAATGCCTTATCGTTTAATAGCCGATCGATTGCCGCCAAGAGTTGCCCTGAAGTGCACTTATAGGCGTCCAGACGTACACCGAAACCGAGTTCGTCCACCCGTTGGGCGTTATTGTATTGATCGCCAAAGAGAGGCAATACTATCATTGGTTTCCCGGCGGCGAACCCCTCGCACACCGTATTATTGCCACCATGGGTGATTAGCAGGTCCACGAGTGGCACAATTTGCTTTTGCGGCAGATATTTCTGACCATACATGTTGTCCGGCAGTTCATAGGTGTCGTGTTTGGGTCTTTTTGATACAATGAACCGGTGCTTAGATTTAGACAAAATACTCACTAATCTCTTCATATTGTGGACATCTGTGGCCCCCATAGAGCCCAACGAAAAGTATACCAACTTTCCCGGTCTGTCCGCCAACGGCTTCGGTATCTCAACCACCGGTTCGTCGCCACCTGTGCTCAGAAAATGGTCGAACCGCTAGTGTTTGGGCGGATTTGGACGCATATACGATAATATAGTTATTATTAACAATGATATAACTTAATGTTATACAAAATTAAGACAATTCCAATAAACAAATGTTATTAGTTTCAAGTGATCGCCTCAACCAAAGCCATAATCGGCTGTCAATTACGGCGACAATCAATTGCTGGCCATTAGTGTATTAAAACTAATAAAACTATTAATAAACTAAATAATATAGAAAATCACTACGGTATTACAACACATTTAATAGTATAAGACATTTAATAGTGCACAACTGGTTACTACTTAAATATAACAATTAATGTTGCGTTAATATTGCAAATATAAATATAAACTGAGTTAATCGGTAGACCACTTCATTTCACGCTCCCATAGTATGTCGAGTCCAGTACCGGACCACTCGTCGCGCAACTGGCGGTCAAAATCGTCGCTTTGTTGGCGACTAAACATCGATCTCCAGCCGCCGGCGCCGCCGGAGACCACGTGTGGGAACGCACTGTCGGCGAACGTAGCCTTCATTGAGCCAAACGAACTCGTATTCAACAGACGGTCCATAAGTGTCTCGTCAACCGACGCGTCGACGTCCGGACACCTCTCAGCCAATCGGCGCTCGTAGTCGGGGCCCAAAAACGTGGCCACACGTCTGATGGCACCGGCCGGGTCGGCCAGCATACGCTCGTAAACCAGCAAGGTACAATCGGCCCGGTGCCGGCTAAGCCATAGGCGCTTTATGCTTTCTAAGTGATTGATCTTACCTGACAACCAATATGTAACAAATTGGCCAAAATCCAAGTCAATGCCATTGACGGCGCTCGCCATCCGATACAACGATACGCACAAGTCTTTCGGATTACGGATCACAAGTAGATATCGGACACCCGGTGCCGGTCTGGACAGCACTTCATGGCAATGGGTGTACAGAAAAGTAATACCGGCGCCGATCATACAGGTGGCGGGTGTGCGCGCTCGGGCGCCGTTCACTTCCAGAAAGTATCGATCCAGTTCGGCCGCATCGGTGTCGGTAACTGGACGGCCGCTGGCCAAACACATTACCACATATTGGGTCCAGAAAGTGCCCGATCGAGGGTTTGTCACTAGTATGCGATCGCCCGCTACCGGCTTGTAGTCCAAGGCGTACTCCACGCCCTCCACAGGGAATCGTATCGGGAATTTCTGTCCGCGAATTGTCTGTAAAACACTTTCTGTCATAGTTGTCGATACCGTTTGAATATCGTTTATATAACAATATAATTACTATTAATTTATATACTGCACAAAGTATTGTGTTTTGTATAATATAGTTTATCAAGTATATTAAGTTGCTTAAAAGTTCTATTTAACTAATTATTGCTGATTGAAATTTGGTTTTTATGTAGGGATTATGAATTTCTAATGTCACCTTGTTTACAGTGATATAGCATTTGTGAATTGAGAACAAATAGAGGCCATACATATTTTATGTATATTTTAACCTCGTTTATTATAAATAAAAAATCATCAATATTTAAAATAAGAAACATTTTTAAATATTTTCAAATTGTTACTAGCTGATATATTATAATTTATAAATTATTAATCAAATAAGAATAATTTTGTGAGTAATGGTTGTATGGATAATATTATGGATACTATGTGTCAGACACTAAACCGTATGGAAAGGGAGCGATAAAGATATCAATAATATATTCATTAATTTAATTCTTACAAAATTTTATACAAAAATTAAATTATCATTGTAAAACCTTGACAAATGAGTTGCCAATTTATACGAGTGATTGGCATATTTATCTGGATAAATACATTGTATTTGCCGAATGTGAGCCAGACTGTTGTGTTTGACAAGCAATAGACAAGTTAAGAAACATAATAAATGTATAATTGCACTTATATTGTAAACCATGTCAAGTAAAACATCGCTTAAAGTGTTATTTGTGCCGATGTTAGCCGAGGGTCACGTAAATCCCTGTATCGGTATTGCGACCCAATTGATAGCCGACGGCCACCGCGCGGTGTTTATTGTGGACGACGTTTGGCGGCCAAAACTGGCCGCTTATGGCATCGAAACGATAGAGTTGGCCAAAAGTAACGCAACCAATGACGGGGCCATCGATACAACCCTTCAGGCGCAACGCATGATGTCTTTGGGTAAGATTGGCGGCGCGTCGGCCATAGAGAAGGCCCGACTCCGGCCAAACGCCGCCGAGTATTGGAGAAAACAGTGCCAGTATTTGGACACACAGTTGGCCGCTCTGTTGCCCGCCATTCGGCCCGACGTGATAGTTGTGGATCAGTTCGCGACACTGCCGGCGGTGGTGTTGTCTGGCATACCGTGTGTGTGGTGTTGGAGCGCCGGTCCTCTCGTGATGCTCGACGACGTGAGGACACCGCCCGGCGAATCAGGTTTGTTAGCTGTGGCCACACATTTAGTTTCGACGCCCAGTCTTTAACGCATTGTTAAAAAAGTTATCAAGAGTTAAATTTATAGGACTGTCCGCTACGGGAGACCCGAGACTGTGGCACGAGTTTCGCCAATTGATTAAAGACGTAACGATAGAGAAGTGGCGGGCGTTCAACGACTGGGTGGTCGGCCGGGGCTGCGAACCACTGCCAGAACACTGCTTTCATAAGACATCGCGTTATCTCCATATATACGGCTACCCCTTGGAGTTGGACTATCAGGACGTGCGGCCGTTGGGCCGTAATTATGTCCGCTTTGATAATTTTAAGCGCAACGAACGGCACTTGACATTCGCTGTGCCGCCAGTGTTGGCCGCAAAGCCCGGAGCGTTTGTCTACTTTTCGTTGGGCTCTCTCTGTCCGGTCGACGTGCAAAACATGCGCCGATTGGTCGCCATTTTGGCCAAATCTCCGCATCGGTTCATCGTATCGATGGGTCCGAAGCATATGGAGTACACTCTGGGCGACAATATGTGGGGCGCGGAGTCTGTGCCGCAGATCCGAGTCCTACCGCTCGTAGATCTGGTGATAACACACGGAGGCATAAATACGGTGACCGAAAGCCTATACTTCGGGCGACCGATGATAGCTATGCCGGTTTACGGCGAACAATACGATAACGCGCAGCGACTGCAGGACAAGGGCTTTGGTCTACGACTGGACGCATACAAGTGCTCAGAGGAGGAGCTGTTGACGGCGATCGAGACTTTATTAAACGATCGCCGATTGGCTGAACGCTTGGCCGAAGTCTCCCGAAGAATACAAACCGATAATAGTTTGGCAAAAGTGTCGCAACTTATTGAAAATTTTGTTCAAAATCAGTGCAAATATATTGATTAGCTTTAATGCATTAATTATTATTGTTAATTAACAGCAAATGTTAACAAATTTAGTTAATCAATGTGTACTGTTTTAAATTAATTATCAAAAAATACGTATTTTGGTTATTTAAAATAAAAATGATTTAATAGCAATGGACTTCGTATGATGAGCAGTAATATATACCCATTTACAGGATTTGTTTGACAATTAATGTCAAATATATAAACATTGGTTAAAATTTATTGTCAACTTTTATTTAAATAATATTATTTGTATTTTATATACTGTAAATAATGATATAATTATACGGCCTAACAATCCTATAAACCATATTGTTCATATCTGAATTGTGATTGACAACTATTAATAAACTAATAAATATAGAAAATCACTACAATATTACAACACATTTAATAGTATAATACATTTAATAGTGCACAACTGGTCACTCTACTTAAATATAACAATTTCTTTAACATTAATAATGTTGCGTTAATATCGCAAATATAAGAATAAACTGAATTAATCGGTAGACCAACGCATTTCTCGCTCCCATAGGGTGTCGAGTCCAGTGCCGGACCACTCCTCTCTCACCCGGCGGTCAAAATCGTCGCTTTGTGGCGACTAAACATCGATCTCCAGCCGCCGGCGCCGCCAGAGACCATGTGTGGAAACTCACTGCCGGCGAACTGAAACTTCATTGAGTCGATTGAACAAACTTTCAACAAACGGTCCATAAGTGTCTCGTCGACCGCCGAATTGGCCACTGAACACATCTCAGCCAATCGGCGCTCGTAATCGGGGCCCAAAAACGTGGCCACGCGTCTGATAGCACCGGCCGGATCGGCAAGCATAAGCTCATAAACTAGCATGGTGCAATCGGCCAGATGCCGGCTAAGCCATAGGCGCTTTATGCTTTTAAAGCCCACTCTCTTACTTGGTAACCAATTGGTAACAAATTGGCCAAAATCCAAGTCAATGCCATTGACGGCGCTCGCCATCCGATACGACGACAGACACGTGTCTTTCGGATTGCGGATCACCAGTAGATATCGGACACCCGGTGTCGGTCTGGACAGCACTTCCAAGCAATGGGTGTACAGAAAAGTAATGCCGGCGCCGATCATGCAGTTGGCGGGTGTGCGCGCTCGGGGGCCGTACTTTTCCATGAAGTATAGCTCCATATCAGCGACGGTAATGTCGGTCACTCGACCACCGCTGGCCACACACATCACCACGTATTCTGTCCAGAAAGTGCCCGATCGGGGAAAGGTTAGTAGTATGCGATCTCCCGGCAGAGACTTGTAGTCCAGTGTGTACTCCACGCACTCCTAGCGTGACCACCTCTAAGTTTAAAAATAGAGAACATTTGACCAAATTCCCTTTAAAAAAGAGAACAAATAGAGAACATATATTTTACGTTAATTTTTTTTTTAAATTAAAAAATCGAGATTATTTAATACCAATGTTGAAGTAATATTTATTGTGTTAGTTTTATTTAAAAATGGCAATTATTAATCAAGAAAGTGTCAATTTCTTTAAAAAGTTTATTATGGTATAGATAAATAAATATTTAATAAATTTAGTAACATTTCTATCATTTATTTTAAATTTAAAATAGAGAACAGTTCTCTAATTTGGCCAAATACAGGTCCAAATAGAGAACTGTTCTCTGAAATAGAGCACAGGTGGTCACGCTACGCACTCCACAGGGAATCCTATGGGGAATGTCTGTCCGCGAATTGTGTGCAAAAAACTATCCGTCATAGTTGTCGATACCGTTTGAATATTATTTATATAGCAATAGAATTACTATTAATTTCTATTATGTTGTATTATTTGATTGATCAAGTATTAAACTCAGTTAGTAAGTGTTTTCTATTTAACTAATACTGTAGTTGCTTTTATTTAAATTCAGTTTTTATATAGTCATTCTGAATTTCTAATGTCATCTTATTTACAGTAATATATTTTTTTGTAAATTGTGCTGTGTCATATTTTATAATGCCGCTACATACAGTATATGGAATATGTACAAGCAAACATATTTAATTATATAAACAGGAGCTAAAATATTGTCAATTGTTTCAGTGTTCAATCAGGTTCTAGTGAAAGAGTAATTTTTGATTAGTAATTATAAAGGACAAATAGTTGGCATATATTTTAGCCTCATTTTTATAAATCAAAAATCATCAATATTTGCAATGAGAAACATTTTTAAATATTTTTTAATTGGTACTAGCTGATGTATTATAAATTATTAAATTACAAAAAATAATTATTGTCAGTAATGCGCTGTAATGGTTGTAATACAAGTATTAATACATTAATACATTACTGACTTTGATAACAAATATTCTAGAAAACAATGATTACATGTAATGAAAGAAATGTAATTTGGGTGATCAAATAATCACATTATTTATATTAGTCATACGTTAACTCCCCCTAAAATCACTTGTTATCACTTATTTTTTGTCAGTCCTTTCATTATTACTCATACCTTTATATTAAGGGCTGTCTTGATTTTGGGGGAGTCAAAAATAAGTTAATGTATGTAGAATTTATATAATAGTTTTAATACGAGTCCATATGATTAGCATTAGTATCCATAAATATTATAGATTAAGAATTGCCATAGATTTAGCATTGCCCGTAGAACTAATATAAATAACCTATATTATATAACTTAATGTCATACAAAAAATTAAGACAATTTCAATAAACAAAAGTTTTTATAGAAATGATTTTATTAATCACATTCTACATAAATGAATTGTGGTTAAAAATAGTATTAATGGTTTGAATTCTGTTATTACGTGAAAATCGGTCGATAAATGTATGCCTCAACCAAAGCCATAATCGGCTGTCAATTACGGCGACAATCAATT